GTTGACAAGGGAAACATATTTTCGACTATACATAGATTGGTGTATGATTCGCAGACTGGTACAGAATTTGAAGAAGGTTGGAGAATGATGATTGATGAGTATGAATTGCATGATAATGACTGGTTGGCTGGACTGTATAACAACAGAGCTCGTTGGGTTCCTTGCTTCTTAAAAACAACATTCTGGGCTGGTATGTCTACGACTTAGCGAAGTGAAAGTATGAATGCCTTCTTCGATGCGTATGTGCATTTGAAGACCTCACTTAAACAGTTCGTTGAACAATATGAACGAGCACTGAGAAATAAGGTTGAAAAAGAGTACCAAGCTAACTTCAAGTCATACTTGTAAATGGTACAATGTGCGACAAATTATGAAATGGAAAAATAATTCAGTTGGTGTACACAATTTCGAAGTTTTGGGAAGTGCAAGATGAGTTCACAGGGAAGGTGTATTGTGATCTCCTAACTGCCTCGGAGGGAAGTTCGGGGACCACGTATGAAATTTTAGAGGATGTGCTGATCGAACACATACGGAAGAAAAAAAAGTGGTTCGTCTCTTTTCAGAGGGACAGTAGTGAAATTGTTTGTAGTTTCCTCTTGTTCGAGTTCCAAGGGATAATATACAGGCATGCAATCACAGTTTTGATCCGTAACAACGTGACATCAATGCCAGAAAGGTATATACTACGAAGGTGGAAAAAAGATGTTAGTCGAGCGCACGCAAGAGTGGCAGTGAACTATGCTGGCTTAGTTATTACTCCTGTACAGTTGAGATACAATGATATGTGTCATGCTTTTTTGCAATTGGCAGACCTCACCGCAGATGACGAAGGGCGATCACGTGCAATAATGGATGGATAAAATACCAATATAAAGAGCTTATGCCGACCAAGTCGAGTAACAGAAGTAATGTTATGTCGCAGCCTGCTGTTCACTTACCCTCTCAGAATATTAATTCTCAAAAATCTGCATGCGAGAGTGAGGGACCCTAAATTGGTGAAGAGAAATGGTGCACCAAAGAAACTTCGAACAAAAGGCCCGTTGGAGTCGAGGTCAAAGAAAAAAAGGTATTTTTGTTTGTTGGCATCGCAATAGAAAAGCACCACATTTTTGAATTCTCCTTTAAGTTTGATATAAATGCAGGGAAATTCCCTTCAAGCAAGGGAAACACATCGAGGGACATACCTACTAACATCCCGGAGGTTGCACCAGAAGTTCAAGTATCTCAACTAAACTATTCCCTACTGACCACGTTCTCCTATTCACAAATGTTGATAGTTAGTATTTTCATTTCTCTGTTGCAATGGATGTTTACGTTTTATTTACATTATTGCGGCATATAGGGTGATACCGAAAATCATATGTTTACCCAACAATGCCTGTCTTCGAACGTTATGCCTCTATCATCACGTGATATTATATTTCATTCGCAAGGTAAATAAATGTTCAAATTTCATTATAATTCATTCTCGTATTATTTCATTACATGTTTTAATGTTCGTCACATACGGCAGGTCGTAGAATGCCTTACTACTATCCAAATTTACCAGAATAAGGTGGCAGCGGCATGTGAAAAGGTTAAGCATCCATCGTTGACTTCGCATATAGAAATGGGAAAATTTAACATGGATGACTTAGTGGTCCCTTTTGCAGGGGTGGAAACATCATATGCAATGGCCAAAGGGATCTCGACCAAGTTGTCGGAAGGATTGAGGGACCACTTTGATAGGATAATCATGGTTGGACCACTTTGTATTTTGTGATAGTTGGAAATCATTGTAATGTTTTGATATAGGGCCATGGATTGAGGTCAAAAGTGTCCATAGTAATGTTTATAACTTTTCTAGGAGTGTTAATGGGTACAAATGTTGAATGCATTGTTGATTCTTTTGTTGGTGTATGTTTTGTTTGCATTTATGATAGAGGGACCACTTATAATTTAATGTTTCAAACAAATGTATTACTTCATGTTTCTTGGTTTTGAATTAGAACTAATTACAGAGGATTTAGATGTTGAAACCTATTTATCTTCCTCGTTGGTAACATTTGTTGCAAAGAATTGTTCCATTTGACAAGTAATTACCTACTAAAACTAGTAATACTTGTGAGTTAAATTAGAACTCTTTTTGTTCTGTACTAGGAACAAGGTTGTGTACAAATGTGTTATGTGAGTAATGGATGTGAAATGCAAGAGCCATTGAATTATATTAGATACACAAACACAAGGAAAATGTTAGCTGGTCACAATTCAATTGGATGCGTGATTTGTCGATGATACCTTTACTAGTGGTATCAAAATGAGTCGAACAGTCCATTTATTGTTTGAATTCACAACAAAATATACACAAACTAAAGGACAGAAACACTGAATTATCTGGGCTAGAGCACTCAACATACAAGTAGGCATTTTTATTTATCTAGGCTAGAGCTACAATTGCTAACCAAACTACAGTAATGTAACAAAATTACAACCTGCAGAGCGATCGACATACAAGTACACTGGGTCACATACTTCACAAGTCGCAAAACACTTAACATAATTGTGACCTATTATCAAGAAGCAAATATAAAGTTCCCTCTTAGTATTCATACGTCGACAAACATAACTCAAATTAACCCATTCGAACAACGACGCCAATTAAGCCAGCCTCTTCCCTTTTGCATTCCCAGATGCAACACATTTTTCTTTACGGATTATCACGTTCACAACGATATGGAGCTCTTCGTTATCATTTAACCGCACTTGAGATTGGAACGTGTGACTCATATCTTCAATTGCTTCCATTACCATTGGGGTAGTCAAGGTAGCACTCGAGGTAGCACTAATGCTACTACATTCACCTCGTGCTTGACCTTCTTCGTACCATGCCCAAAATCCACATTTTTTACTGCAACACTTGAATAATCTACCTTTGTTAAAAGTCTCTTTCTCCACCTCAAAGCACTTCTGATATCCATACTCACACAACGGGCAAATAAGTGTCCTTGCTTCTACAACTATGGCACACACCTGAATTCTTCCCTGGTATTCTATTATGCAAATCAACCTGCCATCACTAATCAATCGGCAATATGAATTACATAAATAATGTATAAATTATAAAAGACGCACCACCACGACATAACAATTGGCCCAACCTGCTTGGACATTATAAACAACTACATGCAGGGAATATTGGATTTTTTGCTTGACACTTGCTCTTCCTATTTGAAGAAAATAAATTTAGATTCAATAATAAGACTCCAGTAAGTCTAGATTTTTCAGAACGTTATCCATCAGACGAGGAATGACACGGTTACATTAACAATAACGACAGAGCACCGCTTAAGGTATTATGAATTCACAGTTGTCCCTTTCTATTTTTGTTTGCTGTTTGTCTTTCATACCAATCAATTAGCACTTTTTCAGAAGAACCATGTAAATGACAACAGGAAGATGAAATTAAACTACTACCTGAATGAGAGTAGATGGTCGTGGTCGTATTTTATTTTTGGTCACTGAACTCGTTCAGCAACAGAGAGAGTTCAGGGGATCGTCAAGTTGTTCGATGCCTTTCAAAGACTGGGAAAGTGCTTGGGGATTATGGGAGAGAAACGATTCTTTTGCCTATAGCTTGGAGGAAGAACACAGTGATGGTGGAAAATTCGGCTTAATCGAGGTCATTCAACATCGGCTTCTAAGATGCACTCATTTGGGGGAAGACAACCTCATGACCACAAAATGTTAATGGGCTACCAGAGATGGAGGCAAATCAGCTGATGCTCACTTGTGGATGTGAAGTGAAGAGGCGAGACGATCGCGCTTGGTCAGGTGAGGTATAGGGTTTCAAATTGGGGATTATAGGAGAGAGAGTGAAAGACAAGGCTTAATAATTGACTGACTTTTGCCTGCTAGTTTTTTCTTTCTTTTTTCTGTGAGAATTTAGTGACTTTCCACGCAAGCCTGTAAAATGCCTGTAGGATCACCCCTGTACACCAAGCGCGGTCGTTGTGGCATAGATGTCAACGACGAGATGGAAAGTGGTTAGAGTTGCTGGGTCACAGCAATGGTTGTCCCTGGCAAGAGGCGGCGTCGGTTGGATTTTATGGGTGTGTGGAGGAGTCTGCTACTTCTGGATGTGGAATAGTAGGGTGGCGTGATTTGGGCTAGATTTGTTGGTTGACATTCAATAGTGGTGGCGGCGTGATTTGTAGGTGGTGGGCTATGGTGGTGCAGGCAAAATTGATAAAAGATGCCGGTGGTTTAAGTCGGTAAAGAAGGTTGTTGCGGAGGCTGAAACAGATGCAGAGGAGGCGTCGTCTGGTAATTTTGGAAAGCGAGTTTGAGGATTGTGGGTTGCTAAATGAAGACGTGGGGGTAAGTGGAGTCCTTTTTTTTGTTGTGGCAGCTCTTATGAGGTCATACGTAAGGCGGTTATCGTTTGTAGTATATTTTGGTAGTGGTTATGTGGGGGTGGACGAGGTGGTGGCTTGGGCAGGTGAAGGTTGGCATTGCAGTGAGTAAAGCTAACTGTGGCAACGGTTTTAATCAGGTTTAGTGTGATGAGAATTTTAGGTAGTGGGAGGTTTTGTATATGGGTGGTTTTAATTGCAATTTGTGGGTTGATGAGAACGGTGACTGATTATTGTAGCCTAATAAAGTTTGAAGATGACGACACTGGGATATGCAAGAACATGACAGTAAAATGATATCCAACCTGGCTCTGATACCACTTTGATACAAGCAAAAAGGGATTCCAACAGAGAATAAAACAACAAAAAAGAAGCAGAATTGCAGAAACTCAGAAAGAAGGAGAAGAGAAGAGGAAGAGAAGAAGAAGACGGCAGCAAGGGAGAGAAACCTGGAGAAGAAGGAAAAGTTAGGGAGGAAGGGGAAGGAAAACGTAATAATCAAGCATATTCATTTCATTAATTCATCAACTGAGTTCTTCAATTCCTTACAATCATATAAATAGCAAAATAATAAACATGGGCTTGGGCCAAACCCATATACAAGTCCAATAAAACATAAGGTCTTAAAATAAATGGAAGATAAAATGGGCCCTAACAAATGGCCTAATGAAGATGTCTGCATCAACAAGTTTAGCCCAACAATATATGGAAAGGAATAAAAACTGCTTATCCAACTCAAATTCTAGACCCCACAAATTTTATACAAAAAGAAGTTAGTCTAACATTATGTAAAGTTCAATGCAGAAACTGATTTTACATTCCACAATAATGGATTTCTCAAGCCTTGTTATCTCAATATCTACAAAATGTCCCAACATTCTAGAGCTGCTATATGTTTTCTTTAAACCCGGGTACATATTGTGGCTCTTGATCAAAACAATCAACCCACAAAAACTTCTTTTACTTCTCAAACTGGATTGAGTAAACACAGAACTGAAGCATTCATCACAAGCCTCTGCCACCTTGATCAGGTAAATGTTGATAGAAGGATGGTATGACAAAATCTAGTTTAGAAGATGAGAAATTAGTACACGCGTGAATGAAAGTAGCTTACATAAATACCTTAGAAACCTAATATGTTTACCTGCAGCATTGATTTCAACAACTGTCGTGTGATGGTTTGATTGGCCTTGTAACCCTAAATAAATTGATCTTAGAGTGTGTTTGATTAACATGAAAAATATTACCTAGAAAAGAAAATATTTTCCATCTTTTGTGGAAAATAAAAATCACCTCTACCCAAGGAAAATATTTTCCTTAAAAACAAGGAAAATTAGGCATATTTTCAAAAGTTGGAAAATGTTTTCCATGAAAAAAAATAGCAATCAAACACCCCAAATAGAAATTTGGATGGAAAATTAATATTTTCCATGAAAAATAAATGTAATCAAACACACCCTTACAGAAATAGTGGATTAAGCATTAGTCCAAGTCTTTGAACAAAGATGAAAAATATTAAATAAATAAATAAATCATAATTAACAAAACGTGAACATGATTTACAAGATGCATATGAAAATCAAGACATAGTAGGATTTTTTTCATGTTTCAAAAAATTTCCTTTTACATCGGAAAAAAAAAAAAAAAACATTGATAATACACTTCTCCATGGAAAAAAGAAGAGACAACAGATGAAGAAAAACCCATGAATGAAAAAATAGGAATTTTTGGTAAAATTTAAAAAATAGAAATGCCGCAAACCCACAAAGAGAGCATAAATTTTAACCTGAATGTGTTGTCCTCTGTCAATTTCTTCTTCAGTGGGAGAATGTTCATATAAGTTGCATAAAAATCATGAAATAAGCTTAAAATAACTAACTGGAGGTTTAATTGGGTTGGTCGACGGGATATTGGCTGGAGATGTAGAGTAATGAGCGACAGAATGGCAGTGATTATTTTGGGGGAAATTGTGTGGATTCCCGATTTTAAGACTGACATTATTGACTTTTTCTTTAACTTATTGTTTTGCTTATTTTCCATTTTCATTTTCACTTCTTTTGCCTTTTTTAAATGCTAGCTTAGATTTTTGAATTCCTGTATATTTCCTATGAAATGTTTCCTGTACCCATAACATTATTGCTGAAACAATGACTAAATAAGATATCATGTCCCAAACTTTTAACATTGTAAGCGTATTTCGACTTGATAGAAAAGTAGATGACGTTAATTGGCCACACAACATCCACGTGATGCATGACTAAAAGGGTAAAACTATAAAGAAAAGAGCAATATTTAAAGTAATTTGAAATAATCACGGTTTTAAGTTTGAAATAAATGAAAAAATCGAGTAAGTTTACCTTTTAAGTTAGACATCATGTGTGCATTGCTTGACAATTTAACGTCTAAATAGATGTGTTTTTTTAGTTAAGAATACAGTATGTACACTTTTAAAAGATTGAAGAGATGAATGTCACAAATGAAAGGTTGGGAATATGATTGGAGAACCGTGAATATTATACACTTTATATTATTGTTATTGGTTTGTCAAATTTGGTCGGGTAAGGCTAAAAATTGGGAAATTGCATTATTTGAACGCTTCTTCTTTTTCATTTTTTTTAACACTAAAATTGACGTTTTGGTTCTCGTTTAATTATTTTAATAGTAGGATTTTTAATTTTTTAGTAAAAAGTAAACAATAATTCTTCTTTGTTTAGGATACATGTCCCCTTGGACACACGGCCCTGTTTGCCAAGCAAAACTCAAAAGTAGATGTAGATTTCATCCAAGATTACTTATTCGAATGAAATAAGATATTTTAATTAAAAAATATTATATATTAAGTCTGAGAAATAATGACTTTTGAATACTTGGTCTCGAATCTATATTTTTGGCCAACTTAAATAAAGAAAATGGTAGAGAACAAGAGTCGAGCGAGAGAAGAAGGAAGCAAGTATGATTTAATTTAATTTAATTTAATTTAATTTAATTTTTTAATGCAAATATACTGAACCAATGTAAAACCTCATGATATGCTAAGAATTCAATTGGAAGTCACAAGGTACTATAATTCACGAATGTGACTTAATTTTGCCTAAAGAAAGACTCAATTATCAATTACAGAAGACTTCTTAAAAATAATAATCCATGTATTTGGTTGATTCTCTATCTAGAGATTGATTTCGATTTACAAATTACTCATATGCGATTCTGATAGAGGAATTTTCACTCATTTATTCGTTTACCTGTTTCTATTTCTTTACGAGGACCATGGCCATAATTTTTCCAATATTCTACATTTGCAACTAATTTTTAAAATTTGACGAATCAATTATTCACAACTTATTTTTCATTTTCTATTAGAGCCTATTTGATAGAGGAACTTTTTCATGGAAATTGTCCATTTTCCACCATTTTGGGTATTTGATTGCACAAATTTTCTAAGTAATTCATTTTCCACCCTCACCCTGCACGTGATCGGTTTTCCTCGATTTGGTTGAATTCAATTTCTCATGGTTTTGGTGGGAATTCATTTTGCAGGTTTTTTTTTTTAATGGAAACAGATTCTATTCACGATTGTAAAAAAAATCTATCCATTTAATTGACAATTTACATGGAAAATAAAGCCAAACGAATATAAAAAGATCCAAAACTTCAACATTTTTCAAGTAGAAAATTAAACAACATTAAAAAAAAAAGTAGAAAAAGAAACAAAGCAGAGGAATAATGAATTTTATTAAACCCGACAATATGGAGAGAATAATACAGGACGGCAATAATGCTTCTTGAAAACTGACAAATGAGTCTTTAATTTATAGGCTACGTCCATAACTCTAATAGAGTCCTAAAATGTAAGAAATTATGTTACAATTAAGGAAAATCACGTAAAAGGAAAAAAAAAATTAGAGCCTAGATTTTATTCCCTTAATTTTGGATTTAATTCATTTTCCAAATCTCATATGTAATCTTGAAGAATCCAAAGCCTAATTTTGAGGCACACTCTTAACAATCTCCACCTTGACTCAAAATTCTGGTGCAACAAATGAAACTCCAAGATTTCAAATCCATTTGCATCGAAATGAATTGGCCAATCTCCTCAACATAGTAACTAAAACTCTCCATCACCAAACCATCACCCTCTGCACGGCGTCCACGAGCGACACCTGAACCCAAATCCTGGGGTTTCCAAAATTCCATCAAGGAATTACTGTTGACCAAACAGGGTCGAAGCACACCCTGTAACGGAAACCATACCAAGTGCTTGATCAGAAGGTTCTTTGTTAGAACTGTCACCTTCAACGATCCCAAAATCATCACAAACATCAATAACACCACTGTACCTATGCTCCATGAGTCTATCCCTGACATTTGAACACAGTGCAACCGCTGAAATTGATAGCAAAGTGGAATCACCAACGCTTCCCTGAGCAATGTTCTGAGCCGACCCAGAGCCCATCACAAGAGGTGTTGTATCAAACTGAATATCCACCACGATATTGAACTTGTCCAGATGTCTCTTAACTGGTTCTACATTTCCCTGTAAGATGTACAACTGAGACTTTTCCCTTCCCTCGAGTACAACCCGGATACTCTTTCGGACCTTCAAGACTCTACCTTCACCAAAGAATTTATACCCTTTTACATCCAGGGTACTCGAACGATATGAAATTCTTTGTCAAGTCTGGAACATGGCGAACCTGATCAAGTGTCCTCATTGTCCCATCTTGTAGCCTCAATTTGACCCGACCGATTCCTGCAACTCGACAGATTGGTTGTTTCCCATGGCAACTCCACCTTACTTCACCATATCATATGTTTGAAATAAAGCCCAATTGGGACATATATGATACGAACATGTAGAATCTAGAATTCACTCCCCAGGTTTGGATTCCCCATCAGATACAGCCAACATTAATCTCTATCATTTGAAAAATTCTCAACAATGTTAGTATCACGAAACGACAAAAAATAATTGGGTAGCGAACATAACAGGATCAAGGCGAGATCCTCTTTATCATATTTTACCTCCAACGTCTCCAAGTCTACAACAATCTCCTTGAACACAGTAAGATGGTCCTGCAGTGACCCTCATTCTGCCATACGATGGGAATACAGCTTCTGCTTTAGAGTCAGTTTGCTGTCAGACTCTTTGTCATGCATAATTGCTCCAACTTGAGCCACAAAGCAGCCGCCATCTTTTCCTTCAAGACATTCTGCAAAATATTGTTGGATAAGTGAAGATGAATCTGCACTAGAGTTTTTCGATCCTTCCGTTGTTTCTCCTCCATAGACAAATTTGCTGACATCCTCTCAAAACCCAACAAAGCATCGTCAAGACCCATCTGCGTCAACACAGCCCTCACCTTTACTTGTCATAGAGAAAATCTTTTATTGCGATCTAGCAGTGGAATTTCATATTTCAACGAATTCATCCTTGAAAAATCTCAACCAAATCACGAAAAACCTGCAACTCGTGCTTTGATAGTTGATCCCAAAATCAATGCAAGATTGAGATTTAATGACAATAATGATTGAGATTTAATGACAATAATGACATATTCAAGATCGCACCATGAAAATAAGATTAAAGTAAAGTAAAAAAAGAAACTAAACAGAAGAATGATAAATTTTATTAACCCGACAATATGGAGAGAATAATACAGAACATCAATGATGCTTATTTAAAATAGATAGATGAGCCTTTAATTTATAGGCCAGATCCATAACCCTAATAGAGTCATAACAGGTAAGAAATTAGGTTACAATTAAGAAAAATCATATAAAACGAAAAAAAAAATTGGAGCCTAGATTTTATTTCCTTAATTTTGGATTCAATTGATTTTTCAAATCTCATACGTAATCTTGAACAATCCAAAGCCTAATTTTGAGGCACACCCTTAACATCAAACATATTTGATTGACAATTCCAAATAAAACAAGTTCTAGGCAATTCAATTCCCAAAAATTCGTTTTCTTTCCACCCAAATTTCATTCTTGCAATCGAACGAATCCTCATAGAATTGAATGAGCCAATTTTAGGTGCATTTTGCCATGCCCTCGACAAAATCACTATTCTTTGTATATTAGCTTTCCTCGTTACTATCGTATAATCAAGATTTTTCGATAACTTATCCCCAATTAATAAATTCAAATTAACTTCATAAAAGTTGACTTTTACCATTCAACTTTTCTCTTTTCCAAATAATGTCAGCTTCTCTCATTTACT